ATTATATTATATTATATTATATTGTATTATTAATATTATTATATGATATTACACTAAGTTTTGTTCGCTGTTTTAAAGCAGGATTCTCAAGAACTTAAAGCTGATTATTCTTCCCGCGATGTCAACGACATTGTCGATCAAAGGTCGTTAAGGTCTTCAAATACCAAAACTGCAGAAGACAATCTAGAACAGAACCAGAAGACAATTGATAAAGATGATATAGGTAGAAGCACCAACCCTGTTGGCGAGAATGATGACTTGAATAAAGCACAAGACGCTATTGAAGACGAGCACAACGAAAAAAACATTGGGGAAGAAAAGCAGAAGCGAAAAGCTCGTGATAAGAACACGAAAGCTAGTGCTAGTATTCCCCCTAAAAAGACAAGTCATTCAAACGATGAGTCAGAGAGTGGTACAGAGTCGTGCGCGTCAACACGTTCCTCGAGGCGTAGTCCACGTGGACGCGCGAGCAGCAAGAGAACCAATTCACCTCTACCTGTAGAGATTATTAAGGTAAAATGTATGTACTACCGTGCATACCTAACCCGATCTTTAGGAGCTTTTACAGAAGTAGATGCATGTCGTACAGGCCTCACCGTAAAAGTAAAAATTAAGTTGATGTACGGTCAACTCGATAAAGGGAAATAACCCCTACCGTTTGGTGGGAAAGCCTACGTTTATGGATTAATCAGAATGGCACAAAGTGAGGCAATTTAAACGTTACTTATACAAAATCGTTTCCTACATGTCACATAATTTAAAGAGCTTATAAGTGTTTTCTTTTCTTCTCTCACAGAGTGATAGGAGAAAGTCCACATCGAGCTCTGACAAAAGCTCAACAGACAGTGAAAACGAAAAAAATGATTCTCTAGAGCCTAAGAAACTCAAGACCTATCCTAGTGCTTTTAACGTTGCCAAAAGAATGGAAGCAAAGAAAAACACCATGTTAACAAATAATTCACAGGAAATCAAGAAGAAGGTGTTTGGACAGAGGGGATCTTCTTTTGGCCAGGTAAGCTAAGGGGCTAACCCCCTCCCCCATCTGGGGGCACTTGGTCTAGTTTTGATGGGTGTGTGCCACTGAAAGCCATAAACCGGCCTGACACTATCTGAGACATGAACCCAGCTTAATCTGACTCTAGGACTTAAAAGCGCATTAACACTAACGATATCAATGAAATTCCACAACCTTAATTTTTTCAGTGGCAGCAATGCATGGAAAACGTTTCGACAAAACTAGAAATTGAATCACCAAACTAAAAGTAGAAAACAAAAGCATTTTTATGATTTATAAATGCCTAAAGAAAATCCTGGAAAACCACGCCCTATCTGATATTATACTCCAACCCTTCCCAACCAAATAACGCCCCGCCCACACTGAAACCAAATGTATTATATTTATAATGTATTTCTTAACTATTGATTATTAGAAAACATCACTTCACATAATGGCACCAGCGCGTCGTTCGGATCATTTCAAGGGAAGGAAACCAGCTGCCTTACAAGATAAACAGCCTTCCAAGAAACATTTCCAAAATAAGGACACTAGAACAAAAAAACAGGCAACAGAACAAGAAAACAGTGATTCTGATCATACAACCAAAGAAGACAACGAGAAAGAAGTCATTCAGGACTCATTCCCTATTGATGATAGCCCCGAGGTAATATGGTTACTACATTATTAGCTTATTAATACTTTGAAAAGGAGTAGACCAATGTGTCAAGGAACTTTTTTCGCATGCAATGAGGATTTTTTAGCATGACGTCATTTCTTAGATCAGGCTGAAAATGTAGTGTCGTGATCGTTTATCTCCCTCACCC